TCATTAAGATGTCTACAGTTTCATTGTTTAGCATTTATGTTTTATTTTTCAATTATTACAATCAATCACTTCTAAATGTCTTCCAACATTAAGATTTTGACATGCTATGCTGTCAAATTATGTCTTCACTATCCAAAATGATTCTCCTATTTCTTCCCTCAAACCCGTATCTATTTACTACTAGTAAAATTTTGCTAATTCAACCTATGTCATGTACACAGTACACACAGTATTCCACTATTGCCTCCACTCCACAAAGAATTTCACTCTAATTTTCTTGTCCCAGGTTGCTTCTCATTTTACGTTTTCAAAACCAAATTTATTTCACATTTTCAAATTTTCCTTTCATTGTTTTATTATCACGGTGATGTTGGCTGATGGGGAGATAGACGGGGATGTTGTGCATCGCTGCATAGTATCGGAGCTGCTTGGGCCAAAAGGTAGTTGGCTTCAGGGGTACTCTGTGACAGAAAGTTTTCGGCCAGGATGTAAAGGGAGTTCTACCGGTTTGTTCTGAGACCAGCCATATTGTATGGAGCAGAGTGCTCGACGGTTAAGAAAACTCGCATTCACCAAGTACATGTTGCGGAGATGCGGATGCTATGTTAGATGTGTGGGCAGAGTGCTGCAGACAAGGTTGGATAGGATTCGGAACGACGTTATTCGGGAACGGGCGGGAGTGGCTTTTGTGGAGAGTAAGCTCCGGGAAGCTAGGCTGAGTTAGCACGTGAAGCAGCAAAGTGCTGAGGCTCCGGTGCGTAGATGTGAGAGGCTTTCAGCTGTGGGCGGGAATGCGGGTAGGGGTAGACCTACGGGTACTTGGAAAGAGGTGGTTAGCCAATACCTTAGACTTTTGGCCCTTACCGAGGAAATAACTTTAGATAAGAGTGTTTGGAGATATAGGATTAGGATAGTTGGGTAGTATAGTGGTAGTTTTTGTGCTTAACGATTTGTGCTTCATATGTTTAGTGCTTTTTGTTTTTTCTTTCTTTAGCCTGCTTTATGCTTCTTTCTGCTTGCTCTGTGTTTTTTGTGTGCTTTTTGTGTTACTCGAGTTGAGGGTCTCTTGGAAACAACCTCTCTACTTTTGAGTAGGGGTAAGGTCTGCATACACACACCCTCCCCAGACCCTACCTCCGTGGGATTCTACTGGGTTGTTGTTGTTTGATTATCAGGGTACAACCTCTCATATTTATGAACTAGTTTAACTACATTTAATTAGGGAAAGTAGTATTTTTCACTTTCCATCATCTTCCATGGAGCCAAAATTTCACCATTTTTTGGCTTTGGGGTGTGATGGAATAAATCAAAATGGATCTCTAAACTGTCTGCGCTTCTTTAATTAATGAAGTAGCAGTTAGTCAAACAATGCAACTTTTGACGTTGAGCCGGGGGTCTCTTTGGAAACAGCCTCTCTACTTTAGAGTAGGGGTAAGGTCTGCGTACACACACCCTCCCCAGACCCTACTCTTGTGGGATTTAACTGGGTTGTTGTTGTTGTTGTTGTTGTATTTTTCACTTATATCCATATACTATATTTTAACAATTCCTCAGTATGTGTGACACTATAAAGCGACATCCTTTTTTTAACAGATGGAGCAGTATATAAGAGTTAAACTTTGGGACACATTAAGGGGCCAAATGATGGTACCCAGTATGTGCCCAGTACACTCCCTAACATTGATCATTTATTATCTTTCTAGGAAAGGTTTGCATTATGTGATGGGGACCAACTCTCAAGAATCGACTGGTTACTCTGCAAAGGAAGTCAATGGTATAGTTGATGCTGCCAATATGGTGTTAAGATTACTACCCTCTAAAGATGGTGCAGTGCTTAGAAGACTCCTGATGACAGCAGTGAGTACCTTTGAGTTTATGAAGGAAATCCCCACATGAAATATGCCAACTTTCTATCACGTCTCTTTTTTTTCCTAGTATTAGTATAATAATGCCACCCTCACCCAAAAAAAGAATCGCGTTTCTTGTTGTGCAAACAAGACTTTTTCCTTTTTGGGGCATTTTCTATCTCTCACGGTTAGAGTTAGTACTTAGGAGACACTCAACAACCTTACCCCCGATCATCAAAGATCCAAATATAAATGTAAGACTTGGATGATTGAAAAAATCAACCTACGACTAACCAAATCATGAATTTCAAATATTTTTTTTAATTTTAAATATATTTTATGTCACTTTTTGATGAAAATTCATGCACGTGTTTATTAAAACTAAATACGTAGTAAAAATTTTAAAAGAAGGGAAATTCATGATTTTATAAGTCTTGGATTGGGTCAATTATTTAAGGCCCAAATTGATAGTTTCTCATCTTTCAAGTCTTAAATCAATATAACTCTCTTTTAGCCATATGTGTAGCTGTCTAGTCGTATCCAATTAAATTTGGTGTTGCTATTTGCGACACGCCGACACTGCAACTGCATCTGGTGTTATAATTGTTCAGACATGGGATATTTTCTCTACGTGATCTGAATTTTTCTGGTCTGATTTGAATGTTTCTGATCTTGTCTACTTTTTTCTTTCTGAAGCATAACATCTGATTTGGTTTGATCATTGGGTTTACAACACCTTACTATCTTAGATTATTTTCCTTCCACTTGTGATGCAGGACGGGTCTTCATTACTTAGTGCCATGGTTTCAAAGGAGGCAGATGTAGTTCGCCAACATTTCTGCAGGGTTCTTGCAGATATACTCTATCAGTGGATGTCTAAAGCTTTAGGAAACCCCAACAACATACAGCTTAGTTCCAAAGTTCGGTCTGATAGCGAAACGGCTTTCCATGATTATAAACTGGTCCTGAGAGATCAACGGCTCAAAGTGATTTTCTCCAAGGCATTTGCTTCTGCAAGGAAAGATCCAATGCTGATGCTGAGAGTCTTCTATGCCATTTGCGCCACATTCGTCAAAGCTTCGGCGTTGGCTTTTCACCGGGTATTGGTTTCTTTCTCTGAAACTTATTTGTGCAGTCTTTCGTTTGCTCCTAGAATTGCTATGGGCGCAAATGCTTAGATTCAGAGTTTATGTTCACTTTCGGCTTCAACAAGTTACTGCCGAAACATGAAGTGCCTGTGTATAATAGTATATGCGTATATCGCTTTCATCTGTTCTGTACATTATCAACCCATGTATTTTTAACAATATAGCAACTATAATTACAGTGCAACGTGTTAGCATGCTTTGTTTGATTACACTTTTTTCCAATTCCCACCAATGCATATTCAAACCACCTATTTGATTTAGTCATTGTGTGCATCGTTAATATTGGCCCCATTTGAAAAGGACGGTAGCCTTTAGTATTAGTGATTTCGGATTTAATCTACACTATTAAAATTTTATTCAAAACGCTAACGCTAATAGAAAACGGTGTTCCCAAACAAGGCCATTGTCTATCCGGCAATAGATCTAGAATGAATTAATATTTAAATTATGCGGATGACCATGTTATAGTAGACTTTAACACTATGTTTGGTTCAAAAAATTTGAGAGGGAAAAGAAAAGAAAATGAGAAGGAAAACATTTTTCTTGTTTGGTTAGAGAGAAGAAAAGAAAAGTGGAAGAAAAGAAAATGAAAAGACAAAAAATAGTAAGGGGAGGGAAAACTAAATTCTTCTTATTTTGGTAAATAAAATGAGGGAAAATTGTTTAATTTTTTTCCCTTCAAAATTCATTGAACCAAACATAATGTAACTATGTAAGTTTTCATGGAACATGATCATTAATGCTCATGGATAATTGTGTGTGTTTTTTTGGGTTAGATATTTGTGTGTTGGTAGTTTACAAGAAAATCTACTTGTAATAATCGTGAGTTTTTGTCATAGTCATAGTATACGGAGTATAAAGATTTTTGATATAATCTATTTCAAATATGAGTTTATAAGTTAGTGTTTTTGACTCACGAAATTAAGTTGTATATTTATTATTTACATAGTTAAACTTCATTCATTTTTTTTATTTTTATTACTCATTTGATAAGTTAATATAATCACGTGACATCTTATTTTGTAGAGTTTTTGTAATTTTTTTAATATGTAAATTTATTATTTTTAATTCCACTCCATTTCATTAATAAATTGCATTGAGGCCCAATCTAAGTTGGCTGCTTATACTATTCATATAATCAAACCATTTGTTTGAAATTTGTTTTCAAACAAATTATTCTAGTATAAAATGAACCCAAACAATCTAGTATTAAGTGTATTTAAATTGTTTTATGTATTGTTTATCGAGCCAAATCACTTAAATTTTATCAAATTAACGTAGCATAACATTTAAAATATATGATTTTCAATAATTATATTTTTGAAACATAATTTTTATTTGAGAAAATTGCCTTAATGTTTTAAATACTTCAAAATTGATCTTAGTCTAAAACTTTTCCATAATAAATCACGTGTGTGTTTCTTTGTGTTTATGATCAAATTCATATAAACTATTTTTAATTATAAGTCTTCTGCTGATGTATTATTCTATGCTTATAGGCTACTTATAAGTAAAATAAGTAAGTTTTTTCTAATTATTTTTATATTAATTTTTTTTGATGTTCCGTTTTGACTAAATTATTTACAAATTTATCTTTCACATTTTACGAATATCCTTTAATGATTTACATTTCATTTAAGATGAGTGTATGCAATAGGGATTATGTAGGAGTTTTTTGTATTTTAAAAACAAGTTAACTTAAAAACAATATCAACAAAAAACTAATAAAAATCTACACAAAATAGGAAAACATCCTTTATGACTTATATCAATTTAACATTAATTTTAGATTTCATTAAGTACTTGAATAACATTATTTACACATAAATACAAATTTATTAGTATAAATTTTGTTCACGTTTGGATTCAAAAAAGTAAAGAAATTGAAATACTTTTTGATAAAAAGAATTTTATTGGATTAATTTAGCATCATAGAACCAGAGTTTTAAGACGACGGTGGTCTTCAATTCCAGATCACAGTTAGCTTCCCAGTCATCTTCAGCAAGCATCACAATACTCAACACGGCAACGCTTCCCGATTTCCCGGCTACAATCCAAAAAAAAACAAATCACCTTTCCGTTTCAAAGTTCATTTTCCAGCTTTCAGTTTTTTCTTTTTTTACTCTTAAATCGCCACTTCAAGCATAGGTTAGTCCGCTCATCACCAGATCGCATCTCAGGTTGAATTCGCAATCTTTACGTTATGTACGATTTAATCTGGTTTTCGTGGTCAGATCTGGAATGGATTGTGTCTGTGTGCCTGTGAATTGCGTAAACGGCGATGAACTTGAGAATTCTCGTTTGTTATCATCATTGCAGGTGCATTCTGAGGAAGATGAGCGGTGGCGGTATGTTTACCGGCTTCACGAGGCTGTGCAAGGGGACGGCCGCCGTGCTTGTCGGTGGCTACATTCTCGTTCAGAGTCTCCCCTCTGCTCTTTCCTATCTTGCACTTATACCTGCAAAGTATTTTTTCTTATCTGTTTCCTTCTTTTGCTGTGGGATTCGGGTTCATTGACTTGAAGTTAAATCACTTGCATTGATTTTATATGTAGAAAATGTATGTACATTGCACATAATATCATATGAGACCTTAATCTAAACTGTGAACTTCATGATGCCTGAGATGCTAAAACTAGAAAAGGGAATTGTTGTTGTATTGTCGGTCTTGGCCTAGCAAAAAATGATTCCATTTGGTGGTTTCTTGAGTATCAAGGATTAGATCAACACAAAACCACTAGGATTGGGCTTTAAGGTAGTATTTTTCTTCTAGGGGTTGGAGGTAGCGTCAGTGTATGATGTGTAGCGGTGATATAACTGTAATCATGGTTCCCGATGCTATTATTGCCGTCTTTTTTATATCATCTTTGAGTGCATGAGAAACGTCCGGGTTTACTATGTAGGAGTTCACGTTAAAAATTCTGATATGAGAGATGGATGGTATTACTATTATCATTTTTTCGCACATTACTATCATTATTTTACTCTGTAGTATACATTTGGCAATAGCTTTAGACTGTTTAGAGTTTAGCTTTAGCCTTTTGTAAAATCTATACAAGGGTAGCCTTTAGCTTAAACGTTTTTATATGTGATCTGCACCATTAAAAATACGGTATTAAAAACTGTAATACTAATTAGTAATTACAAACAGTGCACCCAAATGGGCCGTTAATCATGAACTCATGAAGTCTGTAATTCCACTTCTAAAAACTACACTTCTCTCCTATCTCTTCAATAAGGGGAACTATTTAGTGGATTACTTGCTATTAGCGTATTGATTCTTCTGGTCTGAATTTTCAGTTCTGTGCCTCCCTTCCGAAAAAAGATATTTTCAACCCTACATAAGAAAAAGTCAAATAAGATTTAAAACATCTGACCTGTTGCTCCTTTTTCCATTAGCTTTATTTTTCATTTCAGTGTTTTGAAAATGCTATCCCATGATATCTTGTAGGATTAGCGCTTTCGAAGTTAATTTGCACCATTATAAAAGTAGCCAAAATGCTATTGCTAATCACATTCGCTGTTCCCAAACAAAGCAATCACCTCTTAATCTGAAATAATAAGGCAATACAAAAAGCGCAGTTTCATCTATTCGCACAGAGATGTTGATTTTAGAAAGTATATTATATTTTGTGGTGACAACAAAAGATTTTGCAATCTTAGAATCCCTTATGCCTTCTGTAGACAGATAAGTAGAGAACTCCTAATATGTATAAGAACACACTGTGATTAGCACATTGTTTTTCACTAATGGGTTTTTTTCCCATCTGAAAACTTTATTTTGCAGAACTATTCCCTTCGCATGGAATCTTATAACAGCTGGTTATATTGAACAGTCCATATATGGGGTATGTCTATTTTGGTTGTGGATTATGGTCAATATCATATTTTACCTTTCTTGGATTTTTTTCCCCTTTTGCTTCTTTGTGCAATCTTCTACTCCTTATAGTTCACAGATGTTGAATTTTGTGTATCTCTAGGTGGTTGTCAGCATTATTGGGCTACTTTTCATGGGGAAGCTGCTTGAACCTATTTGGGGCTCTAGGGAATTTCTGAAGTTTATCTTTATTGTCAACTTTTTGACTGCCGTCTGTGTTTTTATTACAGCTATATCATTGTACTACATAACGAGAATGGAAAGCTACCTGTAAGTGATGCGGGAACCTTTATACGACTTAAAAACATTGTTAAACATTCATCCTTAGTTTTCAGGGATCAATTCAATGCGTCTGCTTTTTCTTGGTTTTTACTTTGTATATTCCATCCATTCTCATAACTCTTGTGCTTAAAGAGACTATATGTAGACAGGCAAATCAACTTGACGTGTCATTGTGTTGTAAATACAGTATGTTTTACTCGAATCTAATTGGACAGGACCTTACTGTTTCATACTTTCGATTGACATGCATTGTCTTCCACATTCTATTTGTGCCTCTCAATATGATATGATAGTATACTTTTACTTCATTGATGCATTCCAAAGGTGAAGCTCAATATTTTCTTATTTTTCTATTCCTTTTGAACCTCTTCAACAGTTATCTACCTACTTCCGGCTTCCAAGGGGTCCTTTATGGTTTCTTAGTTGGCATCAAGCAAATCATGCCCGACGAAGAGCTGTCTTTTTTAAAACTAAAGGCAAAGGTATAATCTCAAGAATAATTTGTGAATGAGCAAAATGATGTTTCTAACTTTCTCTCCTTGGGGGTATTTGCAGTGGCTGCCTTCCCTTGCACTGCTAGTATGTGCTGCTTTAAGTTTTTTCGCGGTGGATTTGTCTTCATACCTTCCAACTTCAGTATTTGGCACATACATGGGATGGATTTACCTCAGATACTGGCAAAGGAACCCAGAAACAAAACTCAAGGGTGATCCAAGTGATGAATTTGCATTTTCAACTTTTTTCCCTCAGTTTCTGAGGTAATCATTAGTTCTTTAATGTTTTTTTCATTACCTTTCAGGGGGAGGGGGGTTTTTGGGACTTGTTTTCTCACTGGATCCTTTGTGCATTTTTTCTCTTTCTGGGTGTTCATGCAGACCTGTAATTGATCCCATTGCTAGTGTACTGGATCGAATGCTGTGTGGGAAAAGATCTGAAATTTCTAATGAAGAGAGAGAAGGCTACACTTTAGGTGGCATCCCGTTGCCGGGTTCTGACCCTATTGAAGCATCCAGGAGAAGGTAATCTGATAAGTTGAAGACCCTCTCAAATATGCCATACATTTCTCATACCCTTCGACCCAAACGAACCCAACTCTCCTTTTGGTTGAACGGAGAACTTATTCTTTTCCTTGCCTATTCCAATAACAAAACTTTGATCAACTTTGAGGGTAACACATGACAACAATTCGTCGAAACCAAAGCAAACTGTGGAAATGTCTTGCTTCTTGACAGTTTTTTTAAAATTGCTTGTGTCATCATGACATTCATATTATTCCTATAAACCAGGCTCTATTTAATTGTCTCTTTCCTCCACTGTCGAAACAAAATTGCAGGGAAAGAGGCGCGAGGGCACTTGAAGAAAGATTGGTGGCAACGGAGAGGCTGGCGGCTTCTGGTGCGAACAAGGCTGGAGAGTCCCAAACAGATGATGCATCAGATAATGTTTAAGTGCCCTTTTTCCTGTGTAAATGCCTTTTACCCCTTCACACCAAAGATATCCCAGAATGTATGTCCCAATACACCCCTGGACATTTTTGTGCAACCTTTTTGCCCTTTAGACTCTTTGACAGCGGTTTTATTGCATTATCATTACAGTCCATGTGGTTGGTTGCATATACTCTCTCTCTCCCATAAATTAATTCTGTGTTAAAAAGCTTTTTTATCAATTCCACATAATCCCAATTATTCTAATTACAGAGTAGCAATTTAAAATTATTTAAACTATAAAAAGAGTTTAAATTGAATTGAAAATAAAGTCGATCAAATATCGTAAACAAAAACAGGAAGAACATTTTAGTCTGAAGGAAGTACCTATATATTTTGACTTTATATTTACATACTGGATGAATATGGACAAACAATATATCCACGTTCTTTTGATTCTTAATGTATCTAAAAAGACATTAAGAATATCTTCGGGGTATAAACTAGGGTACCTAGCAGTTTCCTTTGCGCAATCTTCTTCGAGTCGAACACTACTGCAGGTTCCTTTGCGCAATTGTCTATGTCAGTGAAAACTATACCTTCATCACCATCGTCTCCAAGGGAGAGCGAGGCTATGCCAACATGCTCTTGTGCCTCTTCCATGCCTGATCTCTAAGAAAATAAAACCCTAGCCGCAAACCAACACGCTAGCATCACACTAATACAAAATGTTGATGCATATCTTCGGGGTATAAATTAGGGTACAATTTTTTGTGTATAAATAGCTTAATTCATGAATTATTGGTGTGTAATAAATATACCTCAAAAGAAGCAAAAGAAAAGATAACGAGTGCGTGAAGGAGAATGATTTTTAATCTTATATATGTTCATTTTCACACTTTCATTTTGGCTCATCCTTTTTCTCGTTTATGGATTTTTTAAAGCACTAGATAAACATCACCCACGCCCTTTCCTGGGCACTATATTAAAGCAACAATCAAATAAAGTAAAATTCTCTCTTTTCATTAATGGCATAATACTCCATTTGTTCCCATGCATTTGTTCAATTTCTCACTTTTTAAGGTAAAGTGAATCAATGTTAATCATCAAATTACTTTTAATGTGTGTTGCATATTAATATGATAAATTAAAATTTTAATAGTTTTCAAGGAGATAAATCTATTAAAATAATTTTTATGCTAAAATACATTACCATTTTTATTCAATTGAGTTCCAAAGTTCGTTCAGTTTGACTCAAAAAAATGAAACTAAACGAATATACGGAAGGTAATATATCCTCACCAAAAATATTTGTCCAAACGAGAAACTACTTGTGTAATGTTACTAATGTCACATGAGAAGTGTAGCTTCGTTTGTCATAATAAAATTAACAGTACAAACATTAGAAAAGGGATGGAAAAATTAATGAAAGAAACTCCATTATCCAATCCAAATTGTAGCGAGCATATAATTAATTTTAAGACTATAGATGAAGATGATGTTGTTTTGGTGACAAAATAGCAAAACTGAAAAACAATTAATAACTGTGTTTTATTCATTAATTCAACGTATCCAATCACGCATCCTTTTCCACCTGCAAAAAAATTTACAACAATAAAATAATTAAGCTCGCATTTATATAATTAAGTAGAGAACAATATGATTATTCTTTGGAGAGAAAAAAAAGTTGAGCCCCATCCCCGAGGGCCCTCTCAGACCTAGCCTAACAGTCACTGAGATAAGGTAAATTAGACTATGATCGCAGATTGGTGATAAAAAGTAGAGAGAAATAAGTATTAATGCAAAAATTGCTTTGTGAATAGTACAGAACATATAGCCCCATGTTCAAGGACCTCCTCAGATTCGGCTAGACGGTCATTGAGAGAAAGGAATTTAGACTTTGATTGCAGATTGGTGGCAAACAGTAGAGCATGCACCTGGTACTCGAGAGGCCCTATGCTTAACATATGGTTGCCTCTCAGCGCATTTGTTTAGAATCAAACTCGATTCTTAGTCTCTTGGTCACCTTGCCTTTGTCAATTGGTCGTATAATAGAGTAATGCTAGGGGTACACCAAAATAGGATACCCCATTTGTACACCAGTCAAATACAAACACTTAGTCTCAGTGACCACATACACTAAGTGTCTGTATTTGCTTAGGAGCTAGTTGCTACCTACATAGCTTTAAAGATTTGAAATTCAAAATGGAATTATACTTTAATTGTACACATGAATTAAGGAGAGTACGTAGTAAGGACTAGAAGACTATCCAAAGCTGACTTTGAAATCCACAATTGTTCTCTTAAAGCTATTGCTTGAGGCCCCATTACAAAAGTGATGGTTTCACTAATATATGGAGTAGTTCATCTTAAAGAAATCCTTACACATTTAAAAGTAATTGTATTTAATTTGAGTGCTACTATTCTATTTGAATCAACGTAACAATTCTTTTGGTACATGCACAACGATTTAACTTAATAAGTTTTAGTCTTATTTAGTGCGAATTTTCTTTAATTTATTTAAAAAGCTTTAAAAATGTAACAGAAAAAAGAGGGAAAAAAGGGAAAGTGAAACTAAAAAATACGTTTCTTTTTCTAGGTAATTGTTTTTTTGATGTTTTAACTTTAAATCAATTTTTTATAAATATAGTTTTTGTGAGTTGATAAAATTGCATGCAAAGAAAAAAATTTGTTAAGAAATATTTAAAAACCCGAGAAAAAAATAAATTTGGAATAAATGAATTAAATGATTGTTTAAAGACACAAGAATGATATTTTTAAAGATTGAAAAAAAATATTGGAGGGAGTGACATTATATTATTGACCTAAACAGACAAAAACGAGTAACATTTTTGACCAGACAAATTATTACATACACATAAGGTTTATATATAGTGGACCTTCATATATGCTAAATAAGCATTTTCAAGAGTTCAAATATACATTTTTAAAATTAAGAAAAATATATGTGAGAAGGTCCATATAGACCTTAGGTGCACCATAGAATGACTCTTTTGACAAAAATAATTAGTGGCATCTTTGACAAAATTAATAACTTAGTGGTATTATTAAATTTCATTATGTTTACAATAATTGGTTAAAAATCATACGGAGTATGAGATTTTGGAGGCTTAATAAAAAGTAGAGTGCAAATATAGAATGTATTAGAATATAAAATAGTCTTTCCTAAGCCACAACCACAAGCTTAACTTTTAGTTGAGTTGCGTTCCTTGATATGTTATTATAGTTTTGTTAACTAAGAGGCTACATGTTAAAAATTCAACGCCACTTAGTATTAACAAATAATTTTAAATAAAATAACTTATATTTTTCAAAACTCAGCCTTAGATTTATTGTATAAAATATGTTTAGACTACGATTTTATATAATTAATATACAATATATATTTCATTTAATTATAAATCAAAACAAATAGCAAAAAAAATAACACCACAAATAAAAGAGAATTACCCATGGAAATCAGCCCATCGAGGGGGGCGAGATTTGAAATACCCGGGGATAGGGCCGCCGCCGCCGCCGTTATAACGGTGGACGGACTCGGCGATCTTGGCGTTCTCGAAAGCACAACACCCGACGGTGTAGACGACGATGAGGACGACGACCATGGCAATGTTGACCATGGAGATCTTCTGCCACTCCCTCCTCATGTCCTCCAGCACCGCCGCCTTGCACGAGTCGCAGTCGTAGCACAGCACCGCCGCGTCGTTGCTGTTCCACCGCTTGCAGTCCTCCTCCTGCGTCTCCATCGCCGCCGCGTAGTCGCACGACGTCGGCGGCTTGCAGCACCCCGACTGGAGCGGGGACATGTCGTTGGCCTGGTAGTCGGCCGGGGTCCAGTTCAGCACGGCGGCGCACGTGTTGGACCCCACGACACAGCTCCTGACCGGGGCCCAGTCACGCGCCCCGGTCACGAACTGCTTCCGGAGCCACCCGGAGTAGTTGGGGAGCCGGTACTCCTGGTACACCTTCCCGGGGACCGCCACGCCGCCGCCGCGGCTGGTGACGGCGAACCCGAAGATGGTGACGCCCATGAGGGCGGCGATGAGGAAGAGCATGACGAAGAGGTAGAGCCAGAGGGCCCACGTGAGGCGGAAGCAGGAGCCCACGAAACCCGCCAGGGACACCGTCATGATGACGAAGCCGATCGCCAGCAGCGGCGTCTGCAGCAGCTTCTCGCAGGTGGCGCTGCCGCTCCTCGCCATCCACAGCCCGGCGCCGATGATCGGCACCGACGCAACCAGGGTGATGAGGTTCAGCACGCCGATCAGTGTGTTGCTCACCCCGTAGTACACTCCCCGATCCATTTTTTTTTATAGATAATTCAGTTTTATATTTTAATCACACCTTCAATAATATATTATGAGTATATATAGATGCGCTAGATAGCCGATTTCAAATTAATTTGTGTCTCATATTTGCACTACCTGTGGGATGACAAATTAAAGTACAATGCATGAAATAACAAAGTGTTTTTGTTACATGAACGATATATATATATATATATATATATATATATATATATATATATATATATATATATATATATATATATATATATATATATATATATATATATATATATAGACACACACACACACACACACACACACATATATATATATATATATATATACACACATCATTTTAATCAAAAATTGGTATAAAAATAAAAAATATAAATTATACCATTTAAAAGTATAAAAAAAATTCTATTCTATAAAATAAAACATAAGAAGAATATTTTATCTTATCAAATTAACAATAAAAATATACAAACAAATAAAAGTTATCGAGATATCGGATTAGCACATAAGAGTGATACTCGTATTTATTTTGAAAGGAAAAAGAGTAATTATGGAATGAAAAAGAGTAAATTCCATAAAAGGTCCCCAGTTATAGGTCGTTTTACATATTTAGTCCCTACATATCAAATATTACTAATTTGGTCCCCAATTATTATATTTATTTCTACGAATGGTCCTTTGTTAACATTTTCATTAAAACGTGGATAAAATTATAAATTCGCACTCCTTTCTCTCCTCAATTAAGCTTTCTCCTTCCTTGTACTCCTTTCTCAAACTCGTCGCTGAGTTTCTAGCTTTGAACCCTAAACCAAAATCATCACTCTTCTCTCAATTGTTTGTCTAACTGGAGGAACGATCATTTAAATTTTGGGTTTAAGAGCTTCAAACTTAGCGACGAGTTTGGGAAAGAGTATGAGAAGATGAAGAAAGCTTAATTGAGAAGAGAGAGATGTATGAATATACAATTTTATCCACATTCTTAACGGAAATGTTAACAAAGGAATATTCGTAGAAATAAATATAATAATTGAAGACTAAATTAATAATATTTGATATATATGGACTAAATATGTAAAACGACCTATAACTCTACCTTTTATATAATTTACTCAATGAAAAAGTATATACTAGTAATACTACCAAGATTGGAATAAAGTTTTCCTATAGTAATAATCTATTTTGATATGTTTGTGATGGTGGATGGTGGGGTGGGAAGGCTATGTAGCTAGTTGATTGTGAATGCCGAAGTTGCACTTCTTAGCTCCTAAGCAAACTTCTTTTCCAAATTTGTCAAACAAAGAAGAATTTTATTTAAATAGTACTAAAGCATAGTACTCCCTCCGTCCCATTGTCTTTATCCACTTACTTTTTGGCACACCATCTAATGCACTTCTTTAATCTATTTTATCTTGTAATTTGTATATTAAAAAATTATAGAAATTATATATTAATAATCTATATGTTAAGACGAATCAAACAAGATCACACGTGACCATTTTTAGGCTTACACATTGAGAGAATTTGATGAATCAAAGTGCTTAGATGAACAGTTCCAAAAGTCAAATGTGGACAAAGACAGTGGGACGGAGGTAGTATTTTTTAAATATAGTATCATATATTTTTATTTTTTTATGTAGTATCCATGGGTGGCCTGGAGGGTGTGTAAAGTGGCCAACCGCACAGAGCCCCTTAAAATTTAAGGCACCATATTTTTAAATTTGTTAATAATTTTATAACAAAAGTATTATAAAAATATAAAATAGGGCACAAAATGTAAATTTTGGACCGAGCTAATTTTATTTTTTAATTTTTCGGGGCCGGCGCTGGTAGTATCATTGGTCATTGTTGAAGTAATGTCAACCGGCACTGACATTGTTTAAACTAAAAGTCCACCCTCACAGGACATTCTTGCCACTGCCATTATTCAACTGGAAAAAAATTAGAGAAATTTACTTAAATAGGATTAAAAGATAAATGTTTTCCCAATATAGAACCACATGTTTCTATTTCCAATGTAAGACTTTTGGTCATTAACAAGTAGTCATTATTCAAGTAAATGTCCATCATTACTGGACATTATTCTTCCCACTAGATTATTATTAAGTACTACCTCTGTCCCAGAGTATTTGTCCACTTTCATTTTTACACACCATCCAATACACTTCTTTAATCCATTTTATCTTGTAATTTGTATATTAAAAAATTATAAAAATTATATATTAATAATCTCTATGTTAAGACAAATCAAACAAGATCACACATGACTATATTTAGGCTTACACATTGAGAGAATTTGATGAGTCAAAGTGCTAAGATGAACAGTTTCAAAAGTCAAAAGTAGACGAATATAGCGGGACGGAGGGAGTACTATTTAGAGAATAAAAAATCTTAAGTCCTACATTGAGAAAGTCATTATGTTTTAGTCCTATTTAGTGCAAACTTTAGAAAAATTTAAGGAGATACTACAAGAAACACTTTAACCTCAGTGAGAAAAGAAAACGAAAAATGTATAGGTCGTCCAAGCAAGTAGCAAGCTAAGCAATAAAGCTTTATTGGGATTTGGGCTCCATCATCAATTTGCTTTTGTTTTGCGGAGAATTTTTTTTTTTTTTTAAAAAACATTTTGCTTTCCCTTTTGTTACTGTCTATCTTGACATGTCGTGTTCTTTCCATATGGCTCAATTTGTCGTGTCCACTTTATTTTGAAACAGTGCGTAACATGCTAAGTGAAAAAAAATAACATGCTGTATGTGATTAACATTTGCAGAAATGAGAAGGTTTTTTTTTAACTTCATACTACCTTCGTCCCACTCTTTTTGTCCACTTTTGACTTTTGGAACTGTTTATCTAAGCACTTTGACTCATCAAATTGTCAAGGAATCAACTCAACCAAAAGCTCAAGCTTGTGGTTGTGGTCCAGGAATGATTGTTATATACTCTAACACGCCCCCCTCACGTGCAGGCGTGACCTTTTTTAGCCTTGCACGTGAAATCTTAATTTTTTTAAACTGGGTGGCAGTGAGTTTCGAACTTGTGACCTCTTGGTCATTAAGACTCCGATACCATGTCAAGGAATCAACTCAACCAAAAGCTCAAGCTTGTGGTTGTGGCCCAGGAATGATTGTTATATACTCTAACACAAATTCTCTCAATGTGTAAGCCTAAATATAGTCATGTGTGATCTTGTTTGATTTGTCTTAACATATAGATTATTAATATATAATTTTTATAATTTTTTAATATACAAATTACAAGATAAAATGGATTAAAGAAGTGCATTGGATGTTGTGCCAAAATGTAGGTGGACAAAGAGAATGGAACGGAGGGAGTATGTGCTTAAATTTAAGTCACCATCTTCAATTTCTAACAAAAACTTTATTGCAACTTTAAAATATGTAAGAAAAACATAATTTTATCAGTTTTTCGGAGCCCAGTCGGCAAGTGCGTATGCGACATTCCAGCTCACTTTGAATACGGAGGGAGGGAGTAGTTTTTTAGAAGTATATAAGGATTAAGGAGCCATTTTGAATATGGGACCTGTCAGAATTTTGGTTTAGGGCTAAAAATTAACACGAAAGAAAAAAAAAAAAAGAAAAAGGGGCATTCCGAGAATTGAACTCGGGACCTCTCGCACCCTAAGCGAGAATCATACCACTAGACCAAATGCCCATGTTGAAACGGAGTTTTTGTACCTTTAATATATCCTTGACCTTTAAATTTGGGGAGAGCGAAGTCCAGAGTTTCCTTTCATTTCCCATCCATAAATGATGGGCATCTAAATTTCAGTAATTTCATCGTTTTTTGAATTAAGAATGCGATTTCTCATTCCTTTGTCCAAAATTCAATCACATACTTTCATTGTTATTAATAGTTCTGCTCAATCAATGGTGAAATCTTATTTTAGGGCAAAGCTAGTCCTATATTTTACAAAATGGTACTCTTTTGCCTGTCATAAATTATGTTTCATTTTCTTTTAATAAAATAAATTAATACTCTCTCCGTCTCACTTTCTTTGTCCACTTACTTTTTGACACACCATTCAATGCACTTCTTTTATCCATTTTATCTTATAATTTGTATATTAAAAAATTATAAAAATTATATATTACTCCCTCCGTCCCCCTAAGATGTTCTCATTTTGACTTTTGGTGGTTTTTAAGGAGAGTTGAAAAAAGGTGAAAGTTTACCATAATACCCTTAATGAAAAATGGGTGGAGTGTATTAAATGAGGTGGGTGAGGTGTAATAAATAAAGTAAGTGGGGGGTAGTTGTGGTATTTTAATTGTAAAAAAATGAAATGAGAAGATCTATTGTGGACAAAGAAAAAGGGCTATTGGGAAGATCTATGGGGGATGGAGGGAGTAATAATCTATATGTTAAGACAAATCAAACAAGATCACACATGACTATATTTAGGCTTACACATTGAGAGAATTTGATGAGTCAAAGTGCTTAGATGAACAGTTCCAAAAGTCAAAAGTGGACAAAGAGAGTGGGACGGAGGTAGTAAATATACTCCATAATTCTTATTTTGTAGAGTTTTGATGTATTTTAAAACAATTTAATTTATACTTTTTATATCTATACCAATTTATAATTCATATGATTTTTAAAAATATGAGATTTTGCATATTGTTTCAAGTGTGGTATCCATTGTGGGAGGAATGGCGTACTACTTATGTACCGCCTCTATGTGTATCCCCACGTGGAGTTTACCTAGCACTCCCCTATGTTTTATAAAATGAGATGTATACTCGTATCTAGGGGCACAAGATTTCCTTAATGATGACATGATAATCATAAATCACAAATATCACTTTAGTAGTTTAGTTTCGATAAGAAAAATGAGTACTTAATGGGCCGGGCGGCGTTCAAATGTTTGAATATTAATGAACTGAAGACCCGTCTCAAACTCATCAAGCTGCAATAATATAATGTTACTAGATGATTCGGAGTCCTTTGACCCAATTAATTAAGAGTTAATCCCACACTCGTAAACCACGCAGTTAACACTAAAAACCCCATTCCCCACATTCTAGATTGCATAGACCGACGCTAATTTAAGGTTTAATGTCTATTCTGCTAATTACCTAGCAGGACTAGAAGTACTCGAAATATTCTATTTCTAGTACGAGAAGAATTGTGGATCTTACGAGT